CTCAGTTACTCTGAAACTCATGGGTCCTTTTGTGAAAGGAAGAGGCGTGGATTATTTATTATTTTTCTGACCATCTATACCTAAACAAAACTAACAAAACTACTCCCAGAAATTATATTTTATAATTCACATGCACACACCCACCAATCTTAACTATAATAAAATTAGACTCATATAATCAAGCCAGGGCCCCAGTGGACATGTAATTATTACTATCCAGTAGTGTACTACTAACCAGAAGGAGGTATGTAGTAAAATCTCATATCAAAGTAAACACGATACAATTAAAGAGATTTGATTAAGAGCTTGCTCATTTTCTGTATTTACTACACAGGTTACTCTTGAAATAACAGTTAGCATCACAAAACCTACTGCCTGAGATGAAACTTATTGTTCAAGTCTGGCAGTATATGAAAATATTCACTTTTATCATTTGTTATTTTTATCTGCTAATTATCATTGGGAATTGTGCTCTGTCTCTCTCTTCTCTGGTTAGACAGCTTCATGCTTTAGAAAGGCTGCTTGGTTAAGAATCAAAAGACCTGAAAAGTAACCACAATTATGATGCTTTTTTGACAGTGGAAGAGAAATTTATGTGAAGGCAGAAATAATTTCTGTTCTATTAATACTAATTTCTCAGTGTCTGGCAAGGACACAAACTATAGAAGATGCACAATAAGTATTTGTCATACGAAAAATGAAAGGAAAACAGTGTGAATATTTCTTAAAAAACTGGAAATAGAACTGCCATATAACCCAGCAATCCCACTTCTGCGAATACACACTGAGGAAACCAGATCTGAAAGAGACACGTGCACCCCAATGTTCATCGCAGCACTGTTTATAATAGCCAGGACATGGAAGCAGCCTAGATGCCCATCAGCAGATGAATGGATAAGGAAGCTGTGGTACATATACACCATGGAATATTACTCAGCCATTAAAAAGAATTCATTTGAATCAGTTCTAATGAGATGGATGAAACTGGAGCCCATTATACAGAGTGAAGTAAGCCAGAAAGATAAAGACCATTACAGTATACTAACACATATATATGGAATTTAGAAAGATAGTAATGATAACCCTACATGCAAAACAGAAAAAGAGACACAGATGTATAGAACAGACTTTTGGACTCTGTGGGAGAAGGCGAGGGTGGGATGTTTCGAGAGAACAGCATCGAAACATGTATATTATCTAGGGTGAAACAGATCACCAGCCCAGGTGGGATGCATGAGACAAGTGCTCAGGCCTGGTGCACTGGGAAGACCCAGAGGGATGGGGTGGAGAGGGAGGTGGGAGGGGGGACCGGGATGGGGAATACATGTAAATCCATGGCTGATTCATTTCAATGTATGACAAAAACCACTGCAAGATTGTAATTAGCCTCCAACTAATAAAAATAAATGGAAAAAAAAAAACAATAAAAAATGTCACTGAGAATAAAAAAAGAAAAAAAAGAAGTCACTGAACCTTCTGTAGCTCAGCTTTCTCAACGAAACATCACAGTAATATATCTGTCCTGCCTACTTTGATGCCTAGATAGAAGTTCCTGGGAAAGTATAATTCATAAGCAAGAAATTTATTTTTATTATAAGCAGTGCTAAAATTCAAATTTGATTCTCCTGATCCATAGAATCTACTTCCCAATGGTTCCCATCAGCTTCTTAACTGATTTTCACAATAGCTCAACAACAAAAGCATGATAACATTTTGGAATGACTAACTTAGAAGCCACTGTTGTTTCTGATTCATCATTTATGTTACAGGAAGAGAGAAAAGAAACGGACAATTTCAATGGCATGTAATCCAACAGTCAAATGTACTTGGCAACGACTTGTGTTTCTGTACTTTTATTTGAATAAAGGGATCTCTGGTGTTCTGGTAATTGAACTAAAACAAAATAATGAAGTCCCAGTGACACTACCTGGTCCAGGATTTCCTCATCTTCAGCTTCCTCTGCTTAATGTCCCTGCACCTTAATCCATACAGACTGACAGGCCTCTGGGCCTGGGTCACCTTTTTCTCCCCTGAATGAAGGAACCCATTTATTTAACAAAAGCCAATGGAATACCTACTGGGTGACTGACACGCAATAGAAAAATTAATAAATTTAACACAGATGGGTGAGAGAAACAGACATAGACACTATTCATACAACAATGTTTTCAGAATTAAACTAGAGCCCCTGGCTACCTTCCTTCACACTCAGAGGCAACTTTCCTTTGGTGACAGGAATTGAAAGCCATCACACAGGAGAGCACAGACTTACCTTTTCCCCACTTCAACTTGCTGCATAACTGGAGAGTTTCGACTGCTTTTCTTTAGAATATTCGAGTAATGGAAAAATAAAAGCAAAAATAAAACAGTAACAGAAATCTCCTCCCAACTAACTTCAGATTTAAGAAATGCAGCTAGGCAAAGCTGTTTCATCATCAGGGTAGTAGTGTTCACACTGACTCTATTTTGGCTCTGTAATACAGGTGAGACTAGTGGTAAGGAACGCTCCTGCCAATGCAGGAGGCAAAGGAGATGAGGCTTCTATCCCTGAGCCAAGCAGTTCCCCTGGAGGAGGAAATGGCAACCCACTCCAGTATTCTTGCCTGGAAAACTCCATGGTCAGAGAAGCCTGGAGGGCTAGTCTACAGGACCACAAAGAGTCGGACATGGCTGAACACACACACACACAATATAGGTCCTAACTTTCTCCGTGTTTAGCTCTGACAACTTTCTGGCTCAGTTGTGGGGTTAGCTGCCTAAGACCCTGCACAATGGATGCAATAGCAAATCTCAGGAGACGGAGAGCATATGGTTTACTAAATTTAATTTGACAATATTCAGAATAAACTAAGGTAAATCATTGTAAATATATCATCAGGCAATTTAAAACCATCAACCTAATTCACCCATTCAGCCAGTCTACTGGTCCAGGTAACAACTGGCTAGGTTATAGAACTACTTGGCTCTAGTAAGATCTGCATCGAAATCTGAGGTGGTGCAGCTATTTAACTAACCTAAAAAGATAACTCTGCTAAATTTCAGAAAGGTTCCTGTCTAACTGATATACAATCCTTGTAGAAGCTTATCTGCTTTACTGAAGAGGGGTCTTGTTGTCTTTATTTATTTATTTTTTGTCCCTATAGTTTTTTTGGCTAGATATCAAATGGCATGATCATTTTAGTATTAATGACTCATTCAAGTTCTAAGTGTCTCTTTCTACTAAGAAAGTCAAATTCATTGAAAAGTAATAAATTTGTTTTCTGCATGGTAAGGCTTCCATTAGTTATTCAAGGTTAAATTAGTTAAAGAACTCTTGCACAATGGAAATTCACTGTTAATATATTATCACATTTGTGATCCTAACTATTCATTAGAGCAGGGTCAATATTAACAACAAAGGAAAATAAGACAAACACAACATTTGCTTTATGAAGAAAATATAAATAACAATGAGTGCAGAAAGTAATACTTAGTTGTATTTTGAATACTAAAATCATATTAAGCAACAAGGAATTTTTTAAAACACAAAACATTCACTCTCCATCATTTCTAAAATGTAGGCAAACCATGTTTCATATTTATTAAATTATGTAATCCCAAGCAGCTTATATCCAAAAAAACATGTCATAGATTCACAGAAATTTAGCAATCTTTTTAAGGATTTTATTATTAGATAGAAGGAGATACACTGGTGTTTTCAAGGTTGAACCTAAATAGCTCATTTTTACCCAGTCCAGAATTTAATAATCAAAGAATCTTTACCTCTCCTAAACAGGTTTTGAATTATTTTTCTTTTAGACCTACCCCTTTGTTTAAAAATTTTGTATTTTATCCTTGAAATAAAACTAATCACTCAATAATCCTTGAATAAAATCTTTAAAGCTACTTTATTAAAGTGTCCATTTTAAGGATGGTAAAAGAAGGAGCAGAGAAAAATTATTATTCTGGAAAAATTAGTCATACCAAAGCAGAAGCCAGGAATGATCACAGGGAAAATTTTCTAAGGATAATTTAACGACATTACTAAAACTGTGGGAATCCATATACCACCTAGATGATTAGGAAAGGGGTTATTAGCTAAGCCATTGTCTGAAACCCACTGAATCACTGGTCCTTTTGAACAACGATTGGTCCTCCTTTTCTAATGATGGGACTTTAAAATTTAGGAGAAGCTCCAAGCAGCAGATCTGAAGGATTAAAAAGGACACAAGCCTTGAATGAGTCTAGATTCCTCTTCATAAGTACAGGAGTGAGGTAAGATATCAAATCTTTGCTTTCATAATTTTATAAACACAAATCAGTGAGTTTTGCAGGACAAACTACCAAGATCACTCTAAATGCTTGTGCAGGTCAATCATTTGAACTATAGCAAGAGTTTTTGCATCTGCAGGACAAGAGATAATATATTTCCACAGATTACGCTATAAATCAATATTATAGTTTAATTTTATAACCTCTTTCTTTGAATTAGAAAATATTTGACTCAGTTGCTTCATTTTAATATATTTTAATGTTATTAAAATTTTACACAGAAACTACCTGGTACTGAACTGCTATTGTCAGATCTTTAATGTAGTACTTTTACCACATTAAATAGACAATAAAATTGTTTTCATAATAAAGACCAAGTTCATTGACCTCCGCCATGGACCTAAAGACCCATTCCCTATGATGTAGAACAGTACAAGAAATGAGTCCTTCTTGCTCATAAATTCATCCAGCTAGATTGTATGTTACCAAATGAGTCATTTGGGGAAAGCTAAAAGGACAAGCAAACAATTTTGGTTTTTAAAAACAGCTGCTCTGAGAAAAAGAATGAATTCTGTTACAGATACTTATAAATATACATTTTAATTTTAAATCCTAAGACATAAGTAAATATTGTGGAATTCACCCAACTACCCTTCTGATTGATTGAACAATACTGGATAATTATTGTTATCATGATTTTTACATAGACAGTCTTTTAACAGCTAAGTTTCACAATGTATTTTCTAGATATTTCATATGAAAATGAGAACTATAATTCTTCTCAGCATACTGGGAGCCACAATGTCAGCCCCGGTGAGTGATTTCGTGATAAAATTGAAATCATTATGTGAAACCCATAACAAATCCCTCTTTTAACTGTTTCTATTTTTTTGTTTGTTTAGCTTATTCCACAGCGCCTTATGTCTGCAAGCAACAGCAATGAGGTTAGTTTAAATATTTAAAACAACATCCCCAGTTTTTTGTCTTATGGAAACACAGCAGGAAGAGATAAAAGCCTTCTTGTTGATTTATCCTGCAGTTCTACCCACTAATTATATCCAAATGCATTCCCAATGTTTATGTTTGTTTTGCACACCAAGTTGTTTCTAGAATACTACTTTGCCTCCCTTATTTGATTGCAAATTCTTTAAAAACAGAAAGAGATTCTTGTATACTTTTTTGCTCTAATAACACTTAACAGGGTGGGTATAGGTGTTTAAGAGCATAAAATGACTGACTAAACCACTGGAATGGGCTAAAGCTGTGCAGTCTCACACACAGGAGAGAGGTATTTAAATCCTAACCTCTAATCACCATAATTTAGTTCAAGCTTAGTGAGAAAACATCTCACCTCTAACAGGAAACTGAGTTGTACAGTATTTGTACAGTATATGTAGTAAATTTTATTCTTAATAGTTTTAACATGTGTAGTAATCTTGTTTTCATATTATCTTTCCTTTCCTAGTTGCTTCTGAATCTTAATAATGCTCAGCTTCAACCACTACAGCTTCAGGTATCCCTACCCCAATGATTGTTTCAAGAATATTTCCTACTGCTCTTTTCTTGTGGCACTTGGTAGGGGAACAAAACATTTTCTGATTCTATTTCTGAAATCTTAACTTTTAAAATTACTAATTTTTCACATATGATTTAATTTCCATTTATTTGAAGGCTGAAGTAAAAACTGTAATCAAATGAACATTTTTAGGCACAAATGTTCACAACTACAAGATAGCTAAATTAATCATTTTATGAAAAGTCATACACGGCTAATAGGTAAGAAAAAAATTTATATATATATATACATATATATATATATAAACCAGTCTGGCAACTGCAAACTCTGTACCATTTATCCACCTCATTCATATTTGTCATCATGATCAATGGGAATTTACCACTGTTCATGCTATTTGCCTGACTCTTAATGTGCCAAGATGCTGTCCTTTTTTATAATGCAGCAATAGAAATATAGAAATTGTTTTACATTTGCTTCTTTCTCGCTCGGGACTGACTTTTAATTCTTTTCTAAATGAAAGAGAGATGCTTCCTTTCTGTCTCTTGTGTCCTCCCAGGGCCCATTTAATTCATGGATTCCTCCTTTCCCTGGAATTCTACAACAGCAGCAGCAGGATCAAATTCCAGGACTCTCCCCATTCTCTTTATCAACTCTCGAGCGGTTTGCTGGACTGGTCCCAAATCAGATATTCGTCCCAGGACAGGTTGGTTTTGCCCAAGGAACCCAGGCAGGACAGCTGGACCCCTCACAGCCTCAGACTCCACAGCAGACCCAACGGGGCCCTAAGAATGTAAGTCCAGCCTCTTTTATCTAAAGGAAACAATGCACACGGATTATGAAAATGAATATGAATCAGCTTTGAAATAAGACAGGCATTTCCTGTGCAAGAATTGCTTTTCTGATGTGTTTCTACCATCACTGGAAGTACTTTCTTGTACTTCTGACTTTTGACATGAAAAATGCCATATAAATCAGCTCTTCCAGGATCACAGTCACGAACTGAAAGTGTGAAAACATGTCTTGGACAGGATAATTAGGGAAAGTTCATCTTCAAAAAAAGGGTGATTTGTACTAGTGCTGGTACCTATAGTAGATGACCTTTTGTCATCCTAAAAGTCTGCTAATATACATTTTACATTTATACGCTTAGGTCTAAAGAAATCAGCACTGGAATTTTAAAAAGTCAAGTGTAACTTTTTCATAATTCCTTTTTGGCAGGTTATGCCCTCTCTGTTATCCTTGAAAATGCCTCAAGAGCAAGCACAGGTAAGTGAAAGGAAGGCCGCCACTCCTGTGCAGAGATGGCTGCATACTCTCTCCATTGAACTTTTCCTTCTATATCTGTAGCTCTGACTCCTATGGCAGGGCTATAAAGTCCATGCGATGCTATTACTGTCTGGGTACCACCTCTGCTGGGCTGGCAGCAGTTTGTTAACAGCTTTAAAAGGAAGGCCAGCTGGGATTCTCCAGGACCCCAGTTACCAGGACATGGCTGTGTTGGGAGTTAGGGAACTCACTAAGCCTTAGGTTGTGTTCTCTCTCCACCAAAAATGCTAGCATTTGATAACAACTCTGGAGAAATACCATAGACTGACTTTGGCCAACCCTAAATTTTGGTTCAGAGAAAGAGGCATTAATCTGATGAAATAACTTATGATGCAGAGAGAGGTTATTTTGAGTTAGGCTCTAAACATTTCCAGGTTCTTGGATATTTTCAGTTTAACTCCATATTACAGTCAAATTTTAGTGATTTCCATTAAATAGCAGAATCTTTAAAGAAAATACTGCAAATTAGTAAAACCATTAAAGTAATATAGAAAACCCTCTCAATGTTAATATAATAGCCTGCATTCAAAGAAATATGAATATGGATAAATTATATTATTCACCAGAAGAATGTTGACAATTTTGTAAAAAGTTAGACACCTGGCTTTAGTGTGATAATTATGTAATTTTGTCCACTCTTATTATAAAACAAACATTACCTCTAGACATTATCTCATTCTGTTTCATACCAGTTAGAGAATTAGATACCTGACAAGTAGAATTACTTCATTTTAGGATCAAAAACCTAAGTCTTTATAAGATTAAGTTCCCAATTCTAATGAAAATAAATAGCTGAGTTAGAATCTAATTCTTCACCCTTCCTTTAACCGCTAAATCAGTGACTCACCGTTCTGGCTTTGCATTAGAATCTCTGGTGATAACTTTGAAAATTACAGACACTTGGACCCTGCCCACACCTCATGAATCAATCCCCATGAGGAGAGCTTAAATGTGACTATCTGTTAAAATGTTCAATTGGTGTTTTTGATTCTTAGCCAGAGTTAAAAACCACTATACAAAATATATACCTCTTCTCAAACTATAGTTATTGTTTTTCTTAACTTGTTTCCATTAAGGGCTCTTACTAAATAACAGGAGACAAAACTCTACGGATGTACAATGATCATAATTTTCTATAAACACATATACAGACAGACAGACATAAGTGGAAACCAATGCATGATGATGTGAGTGGTAAAACTGCAGAGGCTCTCATTTTTTTCCTCGTCTATTTCTAGATTTGCCAAATACCTTATAATGCACACGGGTTGTTTCAATAAAATGACAGTTATTAAAGGCACTACATTTCTGAACAGTTCGTTCATTATGGTAGAATGTCTAATACTATATCCTGCAGAATGAAGAGTCAAAAAATATTAATATATGGAAAATGCTGTATAGGCTATCTTCTTAGATATTTGCAAAGTAATTTTTATATAAAGCTTATATATAAAGTTCAAGGTACCCTTTGAAAAAGATTGCTATTAGCTGAATTCACTACTTCCTAATGTGTTTGACCAAGCAACCTTGAAACAAACTCCAGTGTCATGTGCAATACAAGTTTTTTCTAAAGTTTGGGAAGGACTGCTTTATGTGTTCTTTTGTTCACAAAATTGCTAAAGACAAATCAGCTTTAAAATAATATTGATAACAGAATTTAAAAAAAAAAAAAAAAAAAAGCCTGAGTGATCTGAAGGAAGCTCTTCTGTACTTTTCTATTTACAATAGATGTTTCAGTACTACCCAGTCTACATGTTCCTACCCTGGGAACAGCCTCAACAAACAGCCACACAGTCACCTCCACAAACAAGACTGCAGCTATTTGAGGAGCAGGTACTACAAGCACTTGATTTTAACCTAACTAGGTCCATCTAAGGATAAAGAAGAAAAGGTAAATTTTCAAAGAAGAGAATATCTGATTTTATACTTAGTGCAAAAACTCAGTGTCTTGAACAGATGGTCATAAAAGGATATACTGCTTTCTTTTTACATAACACTACTTTGGAAATATACTCCAAGATTGAATTTTGAAAGAATTGTTGCTGTTGTTTAATGACTAAGTCATGTTCAACTCTTTTGCAACCCCATTGACTGTAACACGCCAGGCTCTTCTGTCCATGGGATTTCCCAGGCAAGAATACTGGAGTGGGTTGCCATTTCCTTCTCCAAGGGATCTTCCCAACCCAGAAATTGAACCCATGGTTTTCTGCATTAGCAGGCAGATTCTTTACCACTGAGTCATGTGGAAAGCAATGAGATACAATTAGGTAATATAATATTGAGTTTTGTGGACCTTCAATAAAATAGTAAAATTTTAATATAAATTTAGATGGCTCATACATAACTAGATTACTTTTAGAGTGCAAATTAGATTTTAATTTATCATCACTTAAAACTTATCAAATCAATTACAGAAAACTGAAAATTATGCTTCAAATGACTGGTCGTAGTACTTCCAATTAAGTCATACTAATTTAAAGAGAAAGGGAGAGTTTTAACCTAGAAATCATATACTGTTAAAAGGATGTTGGTAATTTAACAATAATTTGTACCACCTAGAACATATAAATTTTCAAAAAAGTATTAGCACAATATAATATACATATATTTTAATCATTTATCACTGCATTATGACAAAAACCATGAGTGATCTAACACATTTTTTTAAATTCAAACAGATGCCATTTTATACTGAATTTGGATATATTCCACAACAAGTAGAACCTGTAAGTAAATGCATTTTTTATTAAAAAAAGAAAAACTAACTTTTGAAACTACTTGCTAAATAAACTATTAAATCTATCAGTGACCTTTAGTCAAAAACCCACCAGGAACACACCTCCAGTTGGACAAAATTGGATTTATCCACTTATTGCAACAGGGGAGGACACACACCATGAGGAACCGTGGAGTGTCTTAAAAAGGAAGGATTGGAATGACTCCTCAGAGGGTCTAGTCTTGTGTCAGGTGATTTGAGGGAGAGTCAAGTAGTGACATTACTTTTGGTTGGAAGTTCTCAAGAACTGGGCTTCCCTGGTAGCCCAGACGGTAAAGAATCTCAAGAACTGGGGGTAGTTCTATGACTGGGTAACTTAACGATTCTTACCTAAAAGGTAAGAAGGATGGAGTGAGGCAAAGACCATGATGGGTAAAGAAACAGAAATTCTTCAGATTATCCAGGACCTAAGGATGCCTGATATTTTCATGCCTTGCACAGGGACCTTGCTGTGGGCAAGGTTACCCAGTGCTGTTTTTTTCATTGCATTTCATCATGTTCAGGGTGGTCTTGTCTGATACTGGTGTTCTGTAGGACTGTTAATGTACAACAGGAGAACACCAGTGTCCAGCAGAGAATGTCAGGCCAGCTCCTGCGAACACTGCCGCAGAGCTATTGTGTTAGGCCAGTTTCTCAGTGTGAGGAGTTGCTTTTCTCTTTCTCAAAACCAAATTATGATTTTTGCTTTTAAGAAACTAATGGAAGAAGTTGGGAAGGGTATAACCACCTTAGGTGCAAGATAAATGTTTTATGGATTATTAATTTATACCATTTAAAACTTTGCAACTTTTAAGGTTATGCCAGGAGGACAGCAGCAACCAGCCTTTGACCCCTTCCTAGGTACAGCTCCTGAAATTGCTGTGATGGTAAGCTTCCTTACCACCTTTGCTTACCGTCTTTTCCTTACCATCTTTAACCATCCCACCACACTTTGATAGTTACTGGAAGTCAGCAGCTGACAACCTACAGCTCCTTGCACTATTGTGCATTTTAATGAAACTGTTATCATTATTCCATCAGCAATTATTACTCCTTCACTCTGTAATCTTTTGCCACTCAAGATTCAATTCACTCAGTTCATCAAATATTTATTGAGGAGCTAATACATGCCAGATACTCTCCATAGGTACACTCATTTAAAGTCAAGTATTAAAAGGCATCCATGTTTGCTGGCATATATGCATACTCTTTCTAAAGGATAGATTTTAATCTAGAAAACTAATAAGGTATTTACCTCCCAAATAAAATCCTTGCTTTACATCTTAATCCTACTGCTTTATATTCTTCCCAATTTTGACCTTATGTTTGAACTTGTAGTCACTTTTTTTTCTCACCCTTACAGCCAGCAGAAGTGTCACCATATTTACAAAAAGAAATGGTAAATTTTCAGCACACCAATGCAGGAATTTTCATTCCTTCAACTTCACAAAAACCCAGCACAACAAATTTTTTTACTTCTGCTGTGGACCCAATTATTACCACAGAGCTCACAGAAAAGAAGGTAAAGTAATCAAAGATTCTTTTTATGAAAGAAATGGGTCTCTAAATAGAAAGTTTAAAAATAAAGTTTGAACTTGATTTATAGGACTTAGTTATGAAAATCATGGCAAAGTTAAGATATAGTAGAATATATGGTCTTACCCTTGAATAAGAAGACCAATAATTGCTTACAGATAATCATTCAGAATCTAATTTAATTTTTATTTAATAAAAGCTTTTTATGCATGTTTTTTCTCACTAGGCCAAGACTGAGAGCCTCAAGGAACCATAAGATGTTGTCCTAATCATTCAAAGTTTAGGGTAGGTATTTGCCAAGAGGCATGCCTTACATTCCATGACATATCTTAAATTAAAAGAAAAAATTGTAAGAATAACTAAAGGTATATGCCAAAATGAAAAAAAGTTAGTGCTTATATATTCCTACAAAGCTAACAATAATTATGAGCAATTTTATTAGCAAATTTTTTAGTCGAAATAAATTTTGAAGATAGTGTCTGTCTATGCCATAAACTTTTCATAAACTCTGAGAACACAAACAGCAAATACACTAGGTCCATGTTACAGACATTCTACAGACAGTAAATGCAAAGTGCTATGCTGTGCTTTGTCACTCAGCCATGTCCAACACTTTGCAGCCCCATGGACTGTAGCCCGCCAGGCTCCTCTGTCCATGGGGATTCTCCAGGCAAGAATACTGGAGCAGGTTGCCATGCCCTCATCCAGGGGACTCCCAACCCAGGGATCAAATCTGGGTTTGCATATGAGCTTGCAGTGAAGCTCATATGCAAAGTCAGTTCCCCCAAATCACCACTTCACTTTGCAAGCTAAATGTAATGCCAATGCATCTGTGTTAGTTTGGAATGAAATAAAGTCTCAAAGTAATAAAAAAAAATGCATAATCACATGGAAATTTAAAATTCCATGATTTTTATATTGACTATTACTTTAATTGATTACCTGTCCTGATGGGTTTCATTGGCTATGAGGCCAATGAGGGTGTTTGATAGAAGGGCGGGTTGGGGTGGGTCTAACACATAAAAAATATACACTAAAAAGCAAATAATTTGGCCTGAATTGGAAAGTAAAAGGCAAAGGTTTTTTAAATCTATCCCCTGCTTCCTCTGAGTCTTTTCTGATTTCTCCTTCTATGAAAATGAATACTTAGCATTCCTTAGATTTAAAAAAAAGTCGATAAAAATACAACCAGAAGTGAATAGTGTGAGCACCTCTTTAGAAAATTCTCTTCTATAACGTGGCATTTTGTGCAATGCAAGATAATTCAAGCTTTTTAATCAAAAATACTAAAGGGATTTCAGTATAGTGTGACCTTCTGAATGAAGGCAAGAAAATGTAAAGTTTTATTTCTTTTTAAACAATTTAGAAAATATCTAGGGAATTTTACAGAAAGCAGTCTAATGATATTAAAATGCTCTTTTATTTTATTTTTCAGAGAAAAAGATGTGGCAGCACCTTGAGTATCATTTTATTTCCTCAATATTAATATTGATTCTTTGAAAACTATGAAATATTTTTGGCTCTTCTCCTAAACTTCTTTTTAATTATAAATAGCATTATACTCTTTAAATGTCATAGAAAAGTAATACAATCATTTAATAAGCTTAGATTTACAAAATTACATTTCTTTTTAAATATCCTATCATTGCATAATCTGAAAATAACAACACTGAGAATAAAGTGAGTATCACTGGATTAATTGTATAAGTGCATTAATAAAGGAAGGCTCTGGAAAATGGTGGCATCAATGAAAATAAACACATCCTGTCATTGGATTTATAGGTGTGGTGACTGACACTGATTAACAAAAGTATGTTCTTAGCTTTGACATATCATCTCACTATTCCTCCCAGGTCCATTCAATTAGATTCCTTCCGATGCACTCCCTATTAGAATCAAAATTATTTGGTGGCAGATCCCATTAAGTGCACATTCCCAAAATGACACAAGACATGGAGAGACGGTTGCCATCACCCAAAAGGATAGGTCCCCAGGAAGATAAGATGTATACTGGTTTGGTGAAGCAACATCTTATACAAAATAAGGCATAGATTTTGGATTTCTTCAGATGTGGCTTTCAATCTGACTTTGAGCATTCAGCAAGGCACTTAACCTGAGTCTCAATTTTCTCAGGTGTAAAACAGAGGTAACAATATCTACCTTTTCAAAATTTCCAAAAGGATGACATGAAACACATGTAAGATACCTGACTCATATGGCTGTCCCTGGAACAACATGAGTTTAAACTGAAATGAAGTCAAATTTGCTCAGGCGTGTTCAGCTCTGCAGCTGCGTGGACTGGAGCCCACCAGGCGCCTCTGTCCACACGATTTCCCAGGCAAGAATACTGGAGTGGGTTGCTATGCCCTTCTCTAGGGGATCTTCCTGACACAGGGATTAAACCTGGGTCTCCTGCATTGCATACAAATTCTTTACCATCTGAGCCATCAGTGAAGCCCCTTAAACTGAAGGGGTACAGTCATATGCAGATTTTTTCAATAAATACCTACAACCATACTATATGACTCAAGGTTGGTTGATTCTTTGGATGTGAAACCACAGATACAGTGTTGTTTAATCTCTAGGTCGTGTCCAGCTCTTTGCAATCCTGTGGACTGTAACCCACGAGTCTCCTCTCTTCATGGAATCTTCCAGGCAAGAATACTGAAGTGAGTTGCCATTTCCTCTCGCAGGAGATCTTCCCAACCCTGGGATCAAACCCACATCTCCTGAGTCTCCTGCACTGCCAGTAGACTCTTTACCACTGAGCCACCTGAGAAGTACCTGGCAATATTAGAAAAGGAAAAGTGAAATTTAGTCACTCAATCCTGTCTGACTCTCTGAGACCCCATGGACTGTAACCCGCCAGGCTCCTCCATCCACAGAATTCTCCAAGCAAGAATACTGGAGTAGGTTGCCATGCCTTTCTCCAAGGGATCTTCCCAACCCAAGGATCAAACCTGGGTCACCTGCATTGCAGGCATATTCTTTACCATCTGAGCCACCAGGGAAGCCAATATTAGGGATTACAATAATAAATGCTTTGAAAATTACACAAGTTATACAAACACAATATTAACATACAAAAGCATTAAATAAGTTCTACATAAATAAAATAACGATCATCATTGCAATTTCCTTCAAGAATAAATTTTTGATAGCATGCCAAATTTATTTCTTATTCTATGCAATATTAAAAGGATCTTATTAGTTTGGATGGTTTTAAAAATTCAACTTAGTGACTCAGCTTAAAAAATAAATTTCCAAGTCTCCGACTGGAGATCAAATCCATTTCAGGTGGATGTTAAGTCATAGCAAAATATTGCTGAGCAACAACTATGTTTGAAAACAAGAATGCTATAGTCACTACCAATGAAATATTCTATATGTGTCAAACTGCAATACAGAAGAGCTTTAAACTGTCATTTTTGTTAACAGGTTAAGAATACAAGAGTGTATAGTTAATGGAAATATTACTTGGATACATGCAAAGAGCTACATTTTATATGTCTGTTTAACCCTGTCTTCCTAATCTCCCCATCTCAGGCCAGTGAAAGAAAGGCAAAGCAGAAAGAGCAATTTGATTTTGAACAGATAAGACCAGGAAAACTTTATGCAGAATATTCTAGAATCAGAGTTGCTTATATTTGGTAATTCACACTTTAGCCTCAAAATTTTAGCTACCAACATTCTTCACTGGGTGATTCCTATCTAAGTGTATTATAACAGCATTAGTTCAAGACTGACATATGGAACTTATGTGTGCTCTCACTTTAAATACTATATACACAACAAATCTACCATCATTGTTTAGTCATACGTTTAAATATATAGTTTGATGAGTTTGATTCACATATACACACACACATAAATACACATATAAATGTATATACCTTGCAACCATCACCCCTATCAAGATGCAGAACATTTCCACCACCCCACCTTCCTTTACTTTTCTGGTCAATCTGGTTTCCCTGTTCTCACGTTTTTAAAGCTACTATTTTAAAAAACAAAATATCTATCACCGTGTATTAATTGTGACTGTTCTGGGACTTTATACATATTAAATAACACAATACTACACTGTGTATTTTTTGTAGCAGTTTCTTTTACTCAATATACTGCTTTTGTGATCCATTCACATTACTGCTTAAATTATGTTACAATAAATGAATATATGACTGTTTATTTTCCTATTGAAGAACATCTTCATTGTTTCTAATTACTGACCATTAGGAATACGGCTGCTATGAACATTATGTACAAGTCCTATTGCTAACATACATTTTCATTTCTCTTGAGTAAAAACAACAAAACCCACCAAACCATAGGTTAAGTTTATTATAAGCAAGTGCTAAGTACATTCCGGGCTTCCCAGGTGGCTAGTGGTAAAGAACTCACTTGACAAGCAGGAGACATGATGTCAGTTCGATCCCTGGGTCTGTAAGATACCCTGGAGGAAGGTGTGGCAACACTCTCCGGTATTCTTGCCTAGAGAATCCCAGGCACAGAGGAGCCTGGTGGGCTACCGTCTTTGAGTCGCAAAGAGTCAGACATTACGGAAGCAATTTAGCACGCATGCACGCAAGTACTTTCCAATGTAGCTATATTTTATACTCTGGTCAACAACGTGTCACAATTCCAGTTCCTCCACATTCTGGCCAACATTTAGAATTTTTCTTTTAAATCATTTTCATGAGTTCCTCTTCTACCAAAGTGAAAGTGAAAGTCGCTCACTTGTGTCTGAGCAACCCCTTGGACTATACAGTCCATGGAATTCTCCAGGCCAGAATGCTGGAGAGGGTAGCCTTTCCCTTCTCCAAGGGATCTTCCCAACCCAGGGATGGAACCCAGGTCTCCCATATTGCAGGCAGATTCTTTACCAACTGAACTTCAACACTGTCACGAAGTTTGACCTCTACCCTCTCTTCTCTCTCAGAAATTACTGCATGAACATTTCTATTGTTGTGACTTTAATAAACATATATAATTATCACTGACTCCTAAATCTATACCTCAATCTATTATATTAAATAGTTAAGTCTGAGAGTGTGTTAGTTGCTCAGTTGTGTCTGACTCTTTGTGACCCCATGAACTGCAGCCCACCAGACTCCTCTGTCCATGGAATTCTCCAGACAAGAATACTGGAGTGGGTTGCCATTCCCTTCCGAGGGATCTTCCCAATCCAGGGATTGAACCTGGGTGCCCTGAATTGCAGGCAGATGCTTTACCATCTGAATCACCAGGAAAGCCAGTTAAGTCTATATCTACTCAATTACATAATTTGTGGCTTTCATTTGCATTTTCCTATGACTAATATGTTGTTTTTCTGTTCTTACCAGCAATTTGCATATCTTTATTTTTGAAAGGTACATTTATTTTTATTTATTTTCTTATGATTGAGGTGTAAGAGCTTTTTATGTATTCTGGATAATATACTTGATACATCCAAAATTTTACTACAAATACTTTTTCTAGTCTGTAGCTTGTTCTTTCATTTTTTAGTGTGCTTTTTGAGGGTCAATTTTTTTTTTAATTTTGGTGCAGTTAATTTGTCAATTTTTTGAAGATTAGTATCTCTTGTCCTAGTAAAGAAATCTTCACCTACTCCAAAGTAATGAATATATTCTCTTTTGTTTTCTTATAGACTTTTTAGTGGTTTCGCTTTTACATTTAAATTTGTAGCCATTGGTTTTTTGCGTAGAGGTTTGTGTGTGTGTGTGTGTGTGTGTGTGTGTGTGTGTGTGTGTAGAGTGTGAAGGTAAAGGTCAAGGATAATTCTTTCCATGTTGTTTTTTAGTCATTAAGTCAAGTTGGACTCTTTTGTGACCCATGGACTATAGTGGGCCAGGCTCCTTTGTCCTTGGGATTTTCCAGGCAAGAATAAGGGAGCGAGTTGCCATTTCCTTCTCTAGGGGATCTTCCTGACCCAAGGATGAAACCTGTGTCTTCTGCATTGGCAGGCAGATTATCACTCAGCCATCAGGGAAGACCAATTTTTTTCATTATTCAAGTGACCAAAATACTGGAGCTTTAGATTCAGCATCAGTCCTTCCAATGAGTATTCAGGGCTGATTTCCCTTAAGATTGACTGGTTTGATCTCTTTGCTGTCCAAGAGACTTTCAGGAGTCTTCTCCAGCACCACAGTTCAGAGGCATAAATTCTTCGGTGTCCGGCCTTCTTCACAGTCCAGCTCTCACAAACATATGTGACTACTGGGCCATCAGGAAAGCCCATTTTTTTCCATACAGACAGCTAATTGCTCCAGAATCATTTCTGTAAAAGTTTATCCTTTCCTCACTGAACTGTCTTTATATCTTTATTGAAAATAAATTTAATTTTTGTGTCTGCATCTATTTTTGAACTATTTTATTCCATTTAATTGCTTTTCTGTCTTTGCATCAATATTACACAGTCTTTATTACTATAAATTAATAATGTCTTTCACATTTCCATATAAGTTTCAGAGTCACTTTGTCAGTTTCTACCCTGCTGAGTTTTAACAGGATAGTGTTGAATCTCTAGATCCATCAGGAAAGGCTTGGCATCTCAATCATATTGAGTATTCAAATTCATGAATGTGGCACATACTTATTCAGGTCATTTTATATTTATCTTTGAAATGTTTTGTGGTTCTCAGTGTAGAGGTCTTACAATATTTTATGTGTTTAATTTTATTTTCTATGTTTAGCATATAGAAATGCAGTTGATTTTTGAACATTGAGCTTATATAGAATGATCTCGCTAAATAAAATTATTAGTTTCCACAGTTGCTTTGTAGGTTCCATATTATTTTCCATCTTAAAAAAGAGGGGTTTTCTTGAAATAAAAACAATTTCTCTTGTTTCCATTACTCCACACATTTTAAATTCTTTTTCTTACCTTGCTACACTGACAAGTGTATATGATGCAATGTTGATTAGAAGGAATAAAAGTGGATATACTTGCATTATTCCTGATATTAGGAGAGAAGTATTCATTTTCACAATTAAGTATGATGTCAGTTGTTCATTTCCCATAAATTACCTTTACAGATTGCAAAAGTTCCCTTTTACACCTAGTTTGCCAAGAATTTTTATTATGAATGAGTGTTGACTTTTGTTAAATGATTTAATAAAATAAAATATGGATATTCTTTTTGATTTGGTTAATGTAGTAAATTACATTGTTTCACTTTTCAGTGTTCAATCAAACTTTCACTCCTGGGGGGAAAACATACTAATTTGTTATAATGTGGCATGTTTTTAAGCTATTGCTACA